CCTCTTCAATTGATAAAAAAATCAGTTCGTTTGCTTGAGCCGTAATGGAGATATGAAATTTTTTTTCGGTAACGTGACTTTTGGGCCACCCTGTATTATAAAAGATCACTTGTGACGTAAGCAAAATAAATGTGACCACAAAGTCATGAATACAGCAATGTAGTATGAAATTATTTTGGTAATATGTCAGGATCTAAATTGTATAATAATTTTCATACAATGAAATTCTTTTCTATACTTTTATAATTAAAAAGAAAATCTATTTCATATTTTATACAAACTAAAATTATATTTAGTTAGCAATATATATTTCAGTTTACACGTATTTACTATCGTTGGAATTGAAAAATTATCTAATAAAACGAAATATAATTTAATTGATTTAGTTCTACACAAACATATTTCTTCCAATGGCTTATTCCTAGTTGCAAGCAAGTGTATAATTAATTAAATCAATCATTGCCAATTGTCAAGAGCTAGAGTATTGTAATGAAAAGTTATGACATCATGATGAAAACTCACTAAAATCTGTGGCATAACTATGAAAAAATTATGAAATGTCATTTGATGAATACGGTATTAAAAAAAATAAAGTCATAAAAACTTCATAACTTTCTTATCTTATGATGGTAGTTTCTTTTCTAAAACTTAGTAATAATATTAGATCGCAAACAGGAATAAGTCTTTCCATTGATTTTCTACTACATCGTCTATTCTAGAACATAGTTTCTTCCTACAAGAACACAAATCCATGCAAAATATCACATATACACAGACCTATGTAACAACGAAACTAAATATGTTCTGATTAATATTTATTCGTCCTGAAGATATTTTTGTAGAAAGATAAATATTGTATATTGCTAACTATCTTTCACAAGCAAATATATTCAAGTAAATCTAGATAGATCAATTAGATTGTGTATAGACACTTTAAATGGGCTAAATATCATGCATTGCCAGTCTATTATGCACTGGTGATGTACTGTTAATACACTCGGTCATTCACATACAGTCTAATTTAAGTGAATAGCCTGTGAATGGTACAGTGCATATACAGAGTATTACCAGAGCATTTCAGAGTAGTAATAAATGGTATTTAATCCATTTGCAGTTCATTTCTAGTGCATTTTGGTGAAAAACCAGTGCATGAATTATTATGTAGATCTTTTTCTACAATGGATAACTTTATATTTATAATTTATACTATTGCAATGACTATAAAATATCACAAAATGCTTGTAATATTTCGATATTGTTAAATAAATCGTTGTTCATGACAGCGTAAATGTAAAATCAATTAAAATTTTCCAATAAAACATTTGTAAAACTTTCTCTGTCAAAGAATACTTTAATATTCTTACATCATTTTTCCATTTATAATTTGAAAATGGAACTAAAGTTCATTCATGGTGTGTATATTGATGAAACTTATTTTAGATTGTATAATTTGAATTTTACATAGTGACTCATCATCGTCATAAACCGTGTTTAACAATAATATCAAAAACCTGCGTCATTCACAATTGCATCTTATTGTTCGCAATTTTTTTTTTGCGTTATTATTATTGTGAATAATTATTCGACTCTTTTTCTCTTTTTTCTCTATCTAGCTTGTCACAAACAATAGAGAGAAGAAAAACCAACTCAAAACCAAGAAATATAAATATACAACAAAAACCTCGTCACTTTACATTTAAATAAGCTTGAATATTACATTATTTTTACAATTTGAATAGATTTATTATCAACAATAAATAGCATCATGGCAACATATAAATGTTATTTTATATTATTATTGATGATTATATTCATGTTAAATAAAATCAATAGTCAAACATTATCAACTGTACCATGCAAACCTGTTTTAGATGATTATTTTAAATATTTAACTGACCGACATCCTGGTCGAAGTCGTTATTTACATATTCAAGCTACATTTATATTACAAAATAGATATGTTGCATATTATACTGGATATCTTAGTTATTTTAGATCATCTAATTCAATAAGTGGTACAGTAACTGTATCATTTAGTGATCGAATGTGGACTCCACCATGTGGTTTAACTTTTTGTCCCCCTCAAAATTTTGATTATAAAAAGACTGATACACAAACTATTGTAATTAATAGATTAGGTGCTATTAAATATATTTTAAATAGTTGGGGTAATGCAATAATTAAAGATCAATTACAATGTTATGGTATAAATGAACCATTTTATACAGCACCAACAAGACAAGCAGCATCAATGTTTGTAATGACATTACAAAAAGTAGAATCTTTTATAACAAAATAATAATTCTATTCAAAAATCATGTACTACAGCATTGAAAACAAAACCTTTTAATAATTAATTCATTTCATTTTTCTTTCTACAAAGTTCATATTCTTTTTTTTATATTTTATTTTATCTAATAAACTTTCAATCATCAGAAAAATGCTTTCTATACAATAAACAATATTTATAAAGAATACAAAAAAAAAGTTTTGCAGCTGTTTATCAATAACAATATGGTTTACATCAGTATTTTTTTTACATAAAATACAATCCATACCTGATTGTACAGTACTCATCAAAAGTTCTAGGACAAACTTTTGTCTTTCACAATATTTTCTTAAGAGGCTACAGTGAGGAAATAATAATACAATTTGATAGATCTAGTAGTCATTTCTCACATGATATATCACATTACGAATGAAGGCTTCTACAGCAACTTCTGTAAGATTCAATATTAGCAAACTGTAACAAAGTTCTGAGATAAAGTAGAGATATTCTACTGGATATCGAGCATTTTATGCAAAAATTCGTTCGATCAAGCTGAAAATTCCAGGATTTATATTCTATAGTAAGGTGATATTATCTGGAAAATTAAAAAAAAACCATCAATATCATGCTTTCCTAAAGCCTACAATAATGACACTACTAGACATGTAATGATTAAGTTGTGAGGTCTCTTTAGAGGATGTTATTAATTAATCTTTATTTTCTTTTTACGCTCAGTCAATGACGCGTTTCTTCCGATTAATTGATCTTTTGCTGAGAACTCACG